GTTATTCTTCCCTCTTCCCTCCCATCGTTCCTTCATCCTCTCGAGTACGGAGGGCTTTTGCGTTCAGCGACTTCGTTATGAGTTAGACGTTATCATGACAGCAGCTCCAGATTACATTCCTTTTCTACAGTTCTCTTTTCCGATCTGATCGTCATTGTCATCCCTCGGAAAGCTCGTATTTCTAGCATCCGCCAGTCTCGTCACACCGATACCATAAGCATATCTTTGCACGCACCTGAGCGTTGCCACGCGCATAATATCTAGATCAGGCTATCCATATGGTTCAGCTGCAGCTATTGACACCAACATGGTTGCCTTCAAGCGCTTCTTCCATGCGGAGAAATCTTCACCGGCAAACTTCGACGGTCATGACGCTCGAGCAGTCAGCCCAGGAGGCGATGATCACCACGTTTTGCCCAACGTGAAGACATCCCGGCGCATGGCCGCAGAAAATCAGTGTGAAGTAACGCATAACCAGATGCAGTCGAGACCCTTGTCAGCTCGTTCGCATGCGCCTCCGTCTCGGGCATCGACTCGTCCTCCAGTCCCAGCATCTCGGCACGTTGATCTGCTCGATGCTTTATTTTCTTCACACCGGTATCACATCCAAAGCGCCAGCACTTTGTCGCCGATTACACCATACAATGAAGATATAGCCGAACGGAACATGGTGCCCTTCTTGAGAGGACTGGCGCTCAAGAATACCTACTCGCGTCCGGTTTCAACTCTGTATCAGGAAGAGGTAGCAGACCGGAATATCTCGAGTAGAAGCAGCAGTCGTTCCATTCCCCACAGTTTCAGCACACGCTCTCGGGCTACGCCACCTCGTTCCAGGCAGGGATCACAGAGGTATGTAGACAATGCTAGGGATCGCCCCCATTCACGGGCGAAAGGCCCGCTGCTGGAGCGGTCTATTTCTCCTGAGAGCTCAGTCTCTGTACCTCAATTGCGTACTGAGGAGCGCCCTGGCTCTTCCAGGGAAGGGGTCTTTCAGAGAAGCTCCCTGCGATCTCAGAGGTCTGCGCCTGACTTGCTAGCTGAATGGAACAATGCGCCGGAGGAAGAAGCCGTCTCCAGTTCGAATGGATACTTGGGCGTCCCTCCTGCTCACAAGCAAGGCGATAAATGGAGCAATACGCCGCTACCTGATAGCCCAACGCTCCCATTATCCATGAGCAGTGACGGTATGAGCGAGACTGAATCCCCCCCGGATACACAGAGTACCCCTCCAGCGTCCGCTCGTCATGGCAACAAAAAGAATATCCGAGATCTTTCTATAAACACGAAGATAGCAGCTCGAGGAAGCCCGAGCACGAAGATTGCACATCGGGCAATACAGCCGCCTACTCCCAGTGCTGTCGATCCTAAGCAAGCCCCTAGCATTGCGGAGGTTATGAACAGCCCTCTCCCTGTGGGAACACCGACATCCATCTCATCCTTGCCTCAGTCCAACGACAAAGTTATCGAGATCATGGACATGTTCAGGCAGGCTTTTGCTTCGACCCAAGAGGTCACACCACACCCTACCTTTGAGAGTCTCCAGGATGCTATCATCAGGGAGATCAATTCTCACGAAGCCTTTCAGCGCATTTCCTTCCCCACCGAGCCCTCACTCACTCCTTCGCCATCTCAGGAATCCTTTGACAGAGCTCCTCATGTGCCATTGTGCCCAGGACCAGGTCTGGAACGAAGCCTTTCTGCAAAGGAAGGGCAATTCTCGAAGTTGATCCGCAAAAGCTCCTTCAAAAAGCACAAGAGAAGTCCTGAGCAGCGCAGAAGCATATCCACGAGCGTTCCCGTAACGGCTTTCCGGGCCTCACAGACAACCAGTCGACGGAGGCACACCGACGCTCCTCTTCCCTCCCCAGGAGTCCTCAGTAATAGGGAGGCGAAGCAACAAAATATGGAGAGCCCCGAGGAGCAAGTGACCTACATGGATCTTCTCCAATCGGAAAGATTATCCCACAATCCTCCAAGCAACCCGGGTCGTGCTGTATCCATGAGAACCAACTCGTCCCATGGCAACTTAACGAACATGAGCGGGGCACCATCAGTCCTACGCATGCGCGCACAAGCCTCTCCAGTAAGAATCAGCCAGATCAGCTACTCAGAAGACGACAGCGACGACGAAGAAATCATCCAATTGCCCAGCGTTGGTGGGACACCGCACGTCTGTATCCAGGGTGTCGATCAGAACAACGTCACCTACATGGCTAGAAACACGACTCCGCGAAACGCCTACCGGCTCATGAGCTGGCCTCGGAAATCAGGTCCCAATGCGCACAGCAGAACTACCATTTCCAGCGAACGAGTCCCCTCCCGAACTTCGTCCAGAAACGGACAGCAGTTCTAGGAGACCGCATTGGGTGCAGACTCGTTGCTGTTGCTTTCTTGCTAATGCTTCACTCTCTTGATACCCCTGTCTTTGACAATGATACCCCTCGCCGTGTTCCCGAAAGGAAACATCGTCACGTCCGCTCTCTTACAACCTATAATCCTTAATCCGTTCCTCGCATCCCTTCATTTGATAGGATAGTCTCATCCAACATATTTCGATCCCTACAACCCCATGAGTGATACCTCTTTGTCTACCCAACACAGACAGCTCAGGCGCTCTTTCATCTCTTCTATACAAACCACAGTCCTTTTACTTTGCATACGGCTTTCAACTTTCATCTCTTATCCAGTCATTCCATCATTCATTCCTTATTCTCTGCATGGATTTCGCATATTTTTTCTACACTGCATCTCTCTTTTCAAGCGTCCTAGCGCTCACTCTTCTGTATCCTTCTCTGACTATCGAGCTGTCACACTCACTTGCTTTTTCCATCCATCACCAGCGAAACTACTGAGTAGACAACGAATCCTTATCACCACCTAAAAAATAATTATAATGCAAAAAGACTACAAAAAAGAGACTTAAGCAATTACCAAAAACATGTTCTTTCAATTCAACTCGCTAGCTACTGAAACGACCTATATCTGACTCCCCCGATGGTAAACCGATGAAAGGTATCTCAAGGAATATCATATCTGCCCCACCCAACTCGCATCATCCATGCAATTGTATGCATCTAAACTCCTGAATTTCACTTGTTCTTTTTTGTTCTTTTTCTTTTCTGAAGACGCTTGTAGGTTTCTTTTTAGGGTCCCTATGTCGAACTCAACGTGAAACTGTATTGGCAGGAATGGAAAAGTCATAACAGTCATAGGAAGGAAGGAAAGTGGATGATAGAAAGAATTTTAATAAATTGAAACATCCGGATCCAACACGGTAGTAGTAGATTGCGTTTAGTACGAGCCTGTTGAGATGGTGATGTTAGATATATTGTAGGTAAGCAACGTAGGGAATCTGGACATGAACTTACGGCCGAACATGCACCACTTCTCAGCGAAGCGGGTGCAGTGGGGGTTGGTACACTTGGTCTGGCCGGGAACGATACCCTCGGGCTGGTCGAAGGGAATGCAGAGAGACTTGGCACCCATGCTAGGAGCGCGAGCGTCCTGGGGAATGCCGGAGTCCTCCTCGTGCTTGCGGGCACTCAGGTCCTTGATCTGGTCCTCACACTCCTCGGTCAAGCAGTGGGGGATCAGGCAGACGTTCTTGTCGTTCAGGGCGGGGGTGAAGTCGTCCCAGTTGGTGATGATCTTGCGGTGGGAGCGGTACTCGGCGTCGGCGCGGTTGTACAGGTCCTTCTGGATGGTTTCCAGGAGAGCGGGCACGGCGGTGGTCAACTCGGAGATCTGAATGGGAGCCTTACCGTCCTTGCCGGGGACGTCACGACGAGCAGCGGTGACGAAGCCGCCGGCAAGCTCGCCAGGACCGAACTCAAGACGCAGAGGAACACCACGGAGTTCCCACTCGTTGAACTTCCAGCCAGGGGAGTAACCCTCTCTCAGATCGCTCTCAGCGCGGACGCCAGCCTCGCGAAGAGTGGAAACGAGGCGGTCGACCTCGTCGTAGAGCTTCTTACGCTCCTCATCGGTGGTCTTGGCGGTGATACCGACGGGGACGATGATGGTCTGGGTGTCAGCGACACGAGGAGGGAGGACGAGACCGCGGTTGTCACTGTGGATCATAACCATGACACCGAGGGTACGGGTCGACAGACCCCAGGAGTTCTGCCACACGTGGAGAGGAGCCGCCTTCTCCTTGTCGTCGCTCTTGGCGGTGGGGTCCTCGACGGTGATACCGAACATCTTACTGAAGTTCTGGCCCAGACCGTGGGAGGTACCACCCTGGATACCACGACCGGTGGCGGGGATGTAGCCCTCGACGGTGGTGGTGTAGAGACCTCCGGCGAACTTCTCCTTCTCGGTCTTCTGACCCTTGACGACGGGGACGGCCAGAAGTTCCTCGTAGATACGAGCATAGAGGTCGAGGATTGTCATAACCTCTTCGTGGGCACCCTCCTTGGTCAGGTGGGCCGTGTGACCCTCCTGCCACAGGAACTCTCTAGTTCTGAGGAAAGGCTGGGGGTGCTTGAACTCCCAACGGACGACGGAGTTCCACTGGTTGAGCTTGAGGGGCAAGTCACGGTGACTTCTGATCCACTTGGCGTAGTAGGGGTACATGACAGTCTCCGACGTGGGACGGATAGCGATCTTCTTCTCCAGGGGGGTGGAGCCACTGTAGCAGGGATGGGTTTATCAGCGGCCTGTCTATATTGGAGGCGTCTCTAGAGATAAGGGAACATACGCGTGTGTCACCCAGGCGACCTCAGCAGCAAAGCCCTCAATGTGGTCCTTCTCCCTCTGCAGCACATCCTCGGACACGAAAAGGGGGAAAGAGCAGTTCTTGACGCCCATCTTCTTGATGTAACTGTTGAACCACTGCTGGATCTCCTCCCAGATGAAGTACGAAGCGGGCTGTCGCATATCAGTACAAGTTGTTGACGGCGTCTCGGGCGGACATAACAACCCACCTTGAGAATGAAGCATCCGGAAACATCATAGTAGTCAAGCATATCACCCTTGGTCAGAACCTGCTGGTACCAACCAGGGAAGTCCTCCTCCTTGGCGACATCGATACCGATCAGAGCAGCGCCCTCGATCTTCTTCTTGGGAGCCTTGGCAGCGGGCTTCTTGGCCTCCTGCTTGCCAATTCCCTTGTTCGCGGCCTTCTCAGCCTTGTCGGCGGCCTGCTTGGCCAGCTTAGCAGCCTTCTTTGCGGCGTTCTTGGAGACCTCTCCCTGGGGGGCATCGGCATCGGCGGGGTTCTGGGAGCGATCAGGAAGGGTCTGGGGAGCGGGGGCCTCGACAGGAGCCGCGGCGTCAGCGGAGGTTTGGCTTGCCATGTTGAGAGGGAGACAACGGTCGCGCAAACAGCAGAGGAGGACCGGATACGAAGGGAAGGCGAAGATAAGAGGAAGATCTGGGGCGGGAAGAGGGGTTGAGTCAAAGTGGGATGCATCTGCAAATCTTCACCGCCCGGGGCCGGCAGAACTTTTAGTGCAAACATTCGAGGCGAACGTCCAGCGGCTTCAGGCATTTGGCTGTCGGAGCTTGTCTTTCCCCCTATTTCCTTCATCTCCGTCTGTTTCACCATCATGGCAGGCATCTTTGAGCAGCCGCGGAATGCGGACACCCTTTGTGAGTCCCCTTACCAACCCCCAAACTCCTTCCCCTGACAGCTATCACTGACCAGTCTCGCACAGTCTTGGGGGGGCAGAAAATCACCGGCGCTGATGTGCGGGAGCAGAACGGTATGAATTGATAGATTCTCCTCGTCCATGGAGGGGTGGATGCTGATGACGATGTAGTCCTTGCTACGCAGGCCATCGCCAATGTTGTCAAGAGCTCTTTCGGTCCGTCCGGTCTGGACAAGATGATGGTGGATGATATCGGTGTACGCATCACGTTTCGACCCCGCGTTCAATATAGAGCAGCTCCCTGATGGTTTTCTAGGATGTCACGGTTACCAATGACGGTGCAACCATTCTGAGTCTCCTCGACATCGAGCACCCCGCTGGAAAGATTCTCGTGGACTTGGCCCAACAACAGGATAAGGAGGTCCGAACCCCCGCTCCTTGTGCTCCATACTACCTCTTCCTGTTCACACGATGCTGATTTCAGACTAGGTCGGTGATGGTACTACTTCCGTCGTTCTCATTGCTGCCGAACTCCTCCGCCGCGCCAACGAGCTGATGAAGAACCGCATACACCCTACCACCATCATCAACGGTTACAGGCTAGCCCTGAGGGAAGCTGTCAAGTACATGAACGAGAACATCACCACAAAGGTTGAGACACTTGGAAAGGACAGCTTGGTCAACATCGCCAAGACATCCATGTCCAGCAAGATCATTGGCTCCGATGCCGATTTCTACGCCAACATGGTGGTTGATGCCATGCAACAGGTCAAGACCACCAACCAGAAGAACGAGGTCAAGTACCCCGTGAAGGCTGTCAACCTGCTTAAGGCTCACGGAAAGAGTGGTCGCGAGTCCATTCTCGTCAATGGCTATGCCCTCAACTGCACTGTCGCTTCCCAGGCCATGAAGACCCGGATAACCGACGCGAAGATTGCTTGCTTGGACATGAACTTGCAGAAGGAGAGAATGAAGCTTGGCGTTCAGATCACAGTCGACGACCCCGATCAGCTGGAGAAGATCCGTGAGAGGGAATCCGGCATCGTCCTCGAGCGTGTGGAGATGATCCTCAAGTCCGGTGCCAATGTCGTCTTCACCACCAAGGGTATCGACGACATGGTTCTCAAGCTCTTCGTTGAGAAGGGTGCCATGGCTGTCCGCCGTTGCAAGAAGGAAGACCTGAGACGTATTGCTAAGGCCACTGGCGCTACTCTGGTCAGCACCCTCTCTGATCTCAACGGTGACGAGAAGTTCGAGGCTTCTTACTTGGGACATGCCGAGGAAGTCGTCCAGGAGCGGATATCCGATGATGAGTGTATCCTTGTCAAGGGCACCAAGGTCCACACCTCTGCCTCCATCATCCTGCGGGGCCCCAACGACTTCAGCTTGGATGAGATGGAGCGTTCCGTACACGACTCCCTTTGCGCTGTCAAGCGTACCCTCGAGAGTGGTAGCATCGTACCCGGTGGTGGTGCCGTCGAGACGGCTCTTCACATCTACCTCGAAGAGTTTGCAGTCACAGTGGTACGTATCCTCCTCCGAAATATCTGAGCCCTAGCTCAACACTAACTCCACCACCTCCAGGGCTCTCGCGAGCAACTCGCCATCGGCGAATTCGCCCAATCTCTCTTGACCGTCCCCAAGACCTTGGCCGTCAACGCCGCCAAGGACTCCTCCGAGCTCGTCGCCCAGCTCCGTGTCCGCCACGCTCTCTCCCAGCGCGTCCAGGAAGGCGACGCCAACGAGGAAGAGAAGGCTATCGCCAAGAAGAAGACGTACCGTAACTACGGTCTCGACTTGACAAAGGGCCGTGTCCACGACTCCCTCAAGGCCGGTGTTCTGGAGCCCAGCATGGGTAAGATCAAGCAGCTCAAGAGTGCTGTCGAGGCTTGCATCGCCATTATGCGTATTGATACCATGATCAAGTTGGACCCTGAGAGGCAGGAGGATGATGGCCACGGTCACTAATTTATTTAGTCTTGTTTTACGTATGGGGAGTTCTCCTTGCTTTCTTCTAGACCTTTGTGTGGCGAGGGCTGAGAGAAAAAGTATAATAAGATGTTCATGAGTACAAATTTACTACCTTATTAAAGTAGTATTGACGTATATGTTTCTCTTGGTTTAGTCTGGTTGTTGTATCCTTAAACTCTTGTGACAATGCCCTAGGGCGGGTGGTAAAACCGGTGTATTAATCACTTCAAAGCACGTCACATATGTAAAGAAGCAGCAGCAATGTTCAATCACAATAAGAAATAACAGAAGTCCTCGTTGCCATGCAATAAAATCCGACGCTATCAAACACAAAACAGTAGAACACCTGAAAGGGGGAACAAGAGATCCAAAACACCCTGCTAAATCAAACATCTATGCTTCTTCCGACGCCATACAATGCATGTAAACCCGGTGAACCGTAAAACAAAAAAAGAAAAAGAAAAAAACAAGACAAGTACGTAGTCTTTCAAATGAGTCATTCTTCTTCGTCATCATAGGAGTCTGGGGTCTCTGCCCAGCCACTGCGCCATCTCTTTCCTTCTGCCTCTCCACTGGTTCTGAGGTCTCGGGCTTCAGGTCCTTCGCGCCAGCATCGGGCGGTGTAGTCGTCGCTAACGGTAACAAGCTCTCCATCGGCAGTCCATGACACGGCGGAGACTTCTTTCACATGGCCTCCAACAAGGGGTGTTCCGGACTGGTAGATGGGAATGGTGTCTTCTACCCGTCCGGAGTATGTGCGACGGAGGCCGGAGCGGGTAGCTGATGACGGCATCGGGGGTAGAAAATCATCCTCAGTGGTCGTCTTCTGATCATTGGAGAGGAAGCGCTCATCTGTTGGAAAGAGGACGGCACAGTTGTCGGCACTCCCGGCAGCTAGCATCTCCGGTTTGTCGCCTGTGGCTTTGCGAACCCCAACTTTAACATAGAAGGTTGCCACCTGAAGACGTGGATGACGGAAGCCATATAGAGGCCCCAGCCCTTCCTTGTCAGATCCACCGGTGCGACGTGGTCTGTTGTTGTTCAGAGAGAGCTCGGGGGCACTTCCCAAGACCAGATGTGACGTTGAGTAGGTGTACACAGTGCCATCCCGACACAGCGTGTATAGTCTTGCACCATCTCCGCCCAAGGCCATTGACGTGACGGCAAAGCCCCGGTATTTGATGTGGCTATCTGGCTGTCTGGTGGTAGCCAGAGGAAGAACTGGACGGCCACGACGGTTGTTGTGTGCTGTACGCAGATCCCACAACCTCACGCAGGAGTTCGTACTCGAAGCTGTGACAAAAAGGTTCTCGCGACCTTGCGGAAGGAAGGCCAAAGAGGTTACGGTAATGTCTGAACGGCGAACTTGAGGTTCCATTTTCTCTGGTGACATGCCTGTTTGCGACGTCCATGCATGAGCGCCGTGAATAGTACTCAATACCTGAGGAAAGGCGGTCTTGGAGGTGATGGAGCCAGCAGTCGATTCTGCGTCAGATTCAAGCGAGCACCGCGCCTGCAGACTAGGTCTGTCAAATCCTTTGCATCGGAGATCCCATATGTTGACATTGCCATCACGACTGCAGGTCGCAAGGACTTTGTTGTTGGCCGCTGGTTGGAACTGAACCTGCTTGACGGAGGACACATGGTTGGATAGGCAATACACCGGCGTCTGAGTGGCCATGTCGATGACCAGTGCTGTTTGGTCTCCAGAGGCTGTCGCAAGTAGCATATCATCGGACGAAATCTGCAGGTCCATGATCGAATTCGTATGCGGGCGGAACGTAAGGTATGCTCGAGAAAAGCCGCTCTTGTCGTCTTTGGCAGAATCTAACAACCGAATGCCTCCCTCCTCATCTCCTACTGCAATAAGACTATTGGCTGTTGAGCCGGTCAGTAAGTACACGCGGACAGAAAGCAATCCTGTTGTCACCCACTATTGCATGAAGCCGTGCAGAACGGCAAGACGTAGCGGTCACCAGAAATATTGGCGCAGTTGTGGCTATCATTTGGTCGTGAATAGAAGTTTGACGTCAGGTCCTGCCAGCCTTCAAGGACTATGAGTATATCGTTACAAAAATAGAGGCATGTGCAACCTACCAGCTCCTGAATTAGACCGTATAGTCACTCTATTCGCCCGAGACCCCGAAAGGCTTCGCATATACAGCGCTCCCGACGATTGCAATGCCTGCGACCGACGGACTGGCAGAACCTGTCGAGTAGGTTTTGTGACAGCAGTTGGCTTAACATCATCAACCCTCGATTCAATCTTGAGCTGGATGTCTCGAACTGGTACAGCTACTTCTTCGTCATTCTGGGCTGCATGGCGAACCTGGACCTTTTTAAGCGGCGACGACTGCAACGGAGAACCAATTGAAGAGAATGAAAGCTTCCGTTTCCGGGTCGGTGTTCGTGTGAAGTCGGGTGCTTCTGGTCTATGTTCAACAGCTTTGGATGTCCTTGTAAAGGCGGGCCCCAGGCGATTGACGGCAGGGGAGCTGAGGGCTTTCAAAGCCTGACGATTGGTTCTCACTGAGCTTGCACTGTTCCCTCCATCCAGCATGGAACGAGGCGTAAAAAACCGTCGGAATGATCGTGGAGTGACCGGGGGAGGCTTCTTGGGTTTGCGTCGGTAGCCAACATCGGACGCTATTGAGGGCGGCGAGGAGGGAAGCTCCTGTGATGTTGGAGGAAATACGGGCTCAGACCGAGGTACTTCGGGGAGATCATGCCTGGCATCCATTGTGCTCCACAGACAGAGATAGACACACGGACATTCTACAGAAACAAATGCATGGGGAGAGGGGGAAGAGGGGGGGTAAAAAAGGACGAGGTTAGAGAGCAAATGGAGGCATGGCGAGTGGAGCTGGGGGCCGTGGATGATGTCCTCCAGGCGCGGAAAAAAAGGGAAAAGTCTCGTGTCGACGTGCCTTTTCGTGTCGCGCCTGACTGGAAACAGTAGGCGGTGAATGTATCCATTAAGGTGGTTCGAGAATGGGCGGTATCTCCCAAACCAGAAGGCGGTCAACATGATGATCGGCTTTTCCGTCCAGAAATTTTAATTTTTCTTGCATTGAAGAAAGACGATTTGGGAGCTTTGGAGCAGCTCATCGTGTCCGTACCTTTGTTTCGGACACTTCACACTTCTGCCACGATGGCTCCAATCAAGCGCAAAGGCAATGCCGCAGAGGAGGCATCTGCCCGTCAACCCCAGAAGCGTGTCCGTGTCGGAGCAGAGGATCGCAAGAAGGACCAGAAGAAACAGAAAACCGCATCGAATGACAGCAACTCCAAGCCGGACGCAAACTCTGCGCCCAAGGCTTCGGAGCTTTCCGTCCTGCGCGATGACGAGCCTTCCTTCCCTCGTGGTGGTGGAAGCGTTTTGACGCCTCTCGAACGCAAGCAGATCCAGATTCAGGCAACGAAAGATGTCCTCTTCGAGCAGAAGGGTTCCAAGCCGTCTGCTGGCGACTTTGGAGATGATGGAATGGAAGATACAGATATGGAAGACGCCGGCGACGATACGAAATCAGCTGCCGCGAAGAAGTCTCGCAAGAAGAAGACAAAGGGAAAGAAGGATGCAGAGAAAGATGCGACGGAGAAAAAAGATGTTCGCATTGAAGGTCTCAATTTCAAGGTATGTTTTTTGGAAGGGCAAGTGAGGCAACATATGCGCTTCTTGAAGCTTACAGAATTAGCGAATTGTACCGGGCACTATGGTACTAGGTCAAGTTTCGAGTATCAACGCTCACGACATCGGACTGTCCTTGCCCAACAATCTCACTGGCTACGTGCCCTTAACATCCGTGTCCAAGGTGCTGGAAGAGAAGATTGAGAAGATTCTCAAGGATGACGGAAGTGACGAGGAGGAAGATGATGATGAGGACGACTCGCTAGACCTTCACAAATACTTCTACCTCGGCCAGTATTTGCGAGCATACGTTGTTTCTGCGGGAAGCAATGCCGCCGATGCCAGTGCCAAGAGCAGGAAGCGCATTGAGCTTTCAGTTGACCCAAGACAGGCCAACTCGGGGCTTTCGAAATCGGATCTGGTTGTCAACTCCGCTGTTCAAGCCTCGGTTGTCAGTGTGGAAGATCATGGTCTGGTTATGGACCTGGGTCTTGAGGGAGGTGAGGTCAAGGGATTCATGTCTTCCAAGGAGGTTGATCCCAAGACTCAACCTTCCTCTATCAAGGAAGGCTCGGTCTTCCTGTGTATGGTCACTGGCCAGAACGCTAACGGCAGTGTCATCAAGCTGTCCGCCAACCTCCCGTCCGCCGGCTCTATCAAGAAATCGCACTACCTCAGCACTGCTCCTACAATTACCTCTTTCCTCCCGGGTACCGCCGCGGAAATCCTTTTGACCGATGTCTCGTCAACCGGCATGGCTGGAAAGATCATGGGCATGTTGGATGCCACGGTCGATCTGGTGCAATCTGGAGGAAGCTCAGGAAAGGACGATTTGACTAAGAAATACAGCACTGGCGCCAAGATCAAGGGCCGTCTCGTCTGCACTTTCCCCTCCGCTGAGCCATACAAGGTTGGGTTTTCGCTGCTCGATCACGTCGCCAAGTTTGCCACTGAGGGCGGTCCCGGTTCCTCGGACGACGCGCCCGCCATCTCTGCCATTGTACCGGAAGCTAAGGTGGTCAAGGTGGAACCCGGTCTCGGTGTGTACGTGCAGATCGGTTCGACTAAGCATCTCGGATTCGTTCACGTGTCGCGACTCTCAGATGGACAGGTGGAAACCATCTCGCCTGAGCTTGGGCCCTTCCGAGTTGATTCGGTGCACGAGGGAAGAGTGGTCGGATACAGTGCCATTGATAACCTGTACCTCCTGTCTTTCGAGAAGAAAGTCATTGATCAGCCTTTCCTCCGGGTCGAAGATGTGACCCTGGGTGCAGTTGTAAAAGGAAAGGTGGAGAAGCTTCTCATCGGAGCCAACGGTGTCGATGGTCTGATTGTTGCCCTTGCAGATGGCATCACAGGTCTGGTTCCGTCCATGCATTTCGCCGATACTCCTCTGCAATTCCCCGAGAAGAAGTTCCACGAGGGTATGACGGTGTCGACCCGGATCTTGTCGGTCAACTTGGAGAAGCGCCAGATACGCCTGACGCTGAAGAAGAGCTTGTTGAACAGCGAATCTGCGATCTGGAAGGACTATGAAGAGATCACTCCTGGCACCCAGTCTCCGGGAACCATCATCAAGATTCAGCCCCATGGTGCTGTGGTTCAATTCTACGGTCCAATCCGCGGTTTCCTTCCTGTGTCGGAAATGAGCGAGGCATACATCAAGGACCCTTCACAGCACTTCAGACTTGGTCAAGTGGTCAATGTTCACGCCTTGAGCGTGGATGCCTCTCGTGAGAAGCTTGCCGTCTCTTGCAAGGATCCCGAGACTTTCACCGAGGCTTACAGGAAGGCTTTTGAGAACATCCATCCGGGCATGCTTGTCTCTGGTACAGTTTTCGAGAAGTCGGCCGACGATACGCTTCTTAAGCTGGACGACTACGGCCTTGTGGCTCGACTCAACGTTGAGCATGTGGCTGATGGCTCCCCTTCGAAGCAGGCTTCTACCCTTTCAAAGATCCGCGTTGGGCAGAAGCTCAATGAACTGATGGTGATCGACATTCAGCGCGCACATCGCCTCATCAAGGTAACGGGTAGACAGAGCCTGAAGAAGGCCGCCAAGCACGGCTCAATTCCGTCCAAGATCGAGGACCTCAAGGAAGGTGCCGACGTTACGGGTTTCATCCGCAACATCACCATGAACGGTGTCTTTGTTGAGTTCTTGGGTGGTGTTATTGGTCTCGTTCCCAAGCGACTTGTTGGTGATGAAAATGTCAACAAGCCGGATTATGGCATGGCTCGGGGTCAAGTCGTCACCGCCACCGTGCATTCGGTCGACGCAGACTTCCAGCGGTTCATCTTGAGCATGAACCCTGCGGAGGCCACCCACGCCGGTGCGAAGAAGAAGGCTGCGGCTAAACCCGAACCCACTACCACTGACGATGCCGTCGCTAACGCTATCGACGAGGGCATCAAGTCGATGTCTGATTTCACCTTTGGAAGGGTCACAAAGTGCAAGATTGTGTCTGTCAGAGCGACTCAGGTCAATGTTCAGCTGGCCGATAACATCCAGGGCCGCATCGACGTCTCTGAGGTGTTTGACAAGTGGGAGGACATTAAGGATCGCAAGCAGCCCTTGCGCTTCTTCCGCCCCAAGCAGATCATTTCCGCCAGGATTCTTGGTATCCACGACGCCCGCAATCACAAGTTCCTTCCTATCAGTCACCGGTCCGGAAAGTTCCCCGTGTTCGAGCTTTCCGTGAAGCCAAGCTTCCTGCAGGCCGCCAACCCCAGTCCTCTGAACCTGGAGCAGGTCCAGGTTGGCTCGACATGGGTTGGTTTCGTCAACAACGTGGCCGATGACTGCCTTTGGATCAATTTGTCCCCCAATGTTCGCGGCAGACTGCGCCTTATGGACGCTTCCGATGACCTGTCCCTCCTTGCCGATGTGGAGAAGCACTACCCCGTGGGATCTGCGATGAAGGTTCATGTTTCCGCAGTAGACGCTGACAAGGGCCGTTTGGATCTGTCCGCCAAGCAGCGCTCCGATAAGCTTGCCTTTGAAGATGTTTCGGTCGGAATGATTCTGCCGGGACGAGTCACCAAGGTCACTGAACGACAAGTCATCATGCAGCTTAGCAAATCGATTGTTGGTGCTGTTGATCTGATTGATATGGCTGATGATTACACCAAGGCCAATCCTACTGTGTGCCAGAAGAACGAAGTGCTCCGCGCGTGTGTCATTGCCATCGACAAGGCTAACAAGAAGATCTCCCTCTCTCTGCGCCCGTCCAAGGTTCTCAGTTCCTCCCTGCCCGTCCAGGACAAGGAGGTTACCTCCATTAAGCAACTCAAGGTGAACGACATCGTTCGGGGTTTCGTCAGGAGGGTTGCAGACAACGGACTCTTCGTCACGGTCGGCCGCGATGTTACTGCTTATGTCCGCATCTCTGACCTCTCCGATTCCTATCTCAAGGAGTGGAAGGACTCCTCACAAGTCGACCAACTGGTCAAGGGCCGTGTTACTGTGTCCGACTCGGAGCAAGGCAAGCTGCAGATGAGCCTGAAGGAGTCCGTTCTGGACCCCAACTACAAGGCTCCCCTCACCCTCCACGACCTCAAGCCTGGCCAGGTTGTGACTGGTAAGGTCCGCAAGGTCGAGGAGTTCGGTGCCTTCATCGTCATCGACGGTTCTAAAAACATCAGCGGTCTTTGCCACCGCAGTGAAATGGCTGAGAATCGTGTGGAAGATGCCCGGACCTTGTACGAAGAGGGCGACGCTGTCAAGGCCAAGATTCTCAAGATCGACCGTAAGCAAGAGAAGATTTCTTTCGGACTGAAGGCTTCTTACTTTGATGAGGAGGATGAGGATAGCGAGGAGGATGACGACTCCGAAGGCATCAGCTTGGATGGCCTCGGTGGCGTTGATGTTGAGGCCAGCGACGATGAGGAGAGTGACGTTTCCATGGGCGGAGTCGATCTCGAGGATGATAGTGACGACGAGTCTGAACAAAGCGACGACGAAGAAATGACTGACGCGCCAGCTAAGGCAAGCCGGCAAGACGGCGGTCTCGGTGCTGGCGGTTTTGACTGGAGCGGCAACAACCAGGACGACGATGAGGCTGGTGCTCGCTCAGACTCGGATGACGAGGAAGATTCGCGACCCAAGAAGAAGAAGAACCGCAAGCCCGAGATCCAGGTCGACCGGACCGGTGATCTGGATGCGAACGGACCCCAGTCTGTTGCTGATTACGAACGACTACTGCTTGGTGAGCCCGACTCCTCTCTCCTGTGGCTTCAGTACATGGCCTTCCAGTTGGAGCTGGGTGAGGTCGAGAAGGCGCGTGAGATTGCTGAGCGTGCTCTGCGCACCATCACCATCGGCCAGGACGCCGAGAAGCTGAACATCTGGGTTGCCATGCTCAACTTGGAGAACACCTACGGCAATGACGACACTCTGGAAGACGTCTTCAAGCGCGCATGCCAGTACAACGATACCCAGGAAGTCTACGAGCGGACGATCAGCATCTACATCCAGTCTGGCAAGAACGAGGTAAGTCTTACAACATTTCCCTTTGTCTCTCTTCATGTGCTAACGGAATCACCTACAGAAAGCGGATGACCTCTTCCAAACCGCTCTCAAGAAGAAGGTCTTCGGATCCCCCAAGTTCTTCATCAACTACGCCAGCTTCCTGTTCGACACCATGGCTGCCCCCGAGCGCGCTCGTGCCCTGCTGCCTCGTGCCCTGCAGTCCCTGCCTTCGCACACCCACGTCGAGTTGACGTCCAAGTTCGGCCAGCTGGAGTTCCGCTCGGCTAACGGAGACATTGAGCGCGGCCGCACGGTGTTCGAGGGTCTCCTGTCCTCGTTCCCCAAGAAGATCGATCTCTGGAACATCTTGTTGGATCTGGAGATCAAGAACGGCGATGCCGAGCAGGTCCGCCGTCTGTTCGAGCGGGTCCTGGGCATCCGCGACACGAAGAAGGGTGGCGCTGCCGCCGCCGTCGAGGCCAGCAAGAAGGTGCGGCCTAAGCAGGCGAAATTCTTCTTCAAGAAGTGGCTCTCCTTTGAGGAAAAGCTTGCGTCGGCTGAGGGTGGCAATGATAAGATGGTGGAAGAGATCAAGGCCAAAGCGGCCGAGTACGTCAAGTCCTTGCAGCAGGAGTAGAGTGAGCATTGGTGTTTTTGTTTCTTCTTTTTGATATCTGGGACATACTTAGACATGATGTGTATCTTGTATATATAAAAAAGCATTTTTCAGACATGTTTCAAATCTTCCTTCTATGGGTATTGGTAGTTATTATCTACAACAATGCAACCTCCATCTATACCTAATACTTGCCCAACACAGCCTCCGGATAGATAAACAGAGAGATGAATTACTGCCCCCTCCTCTTCTCAGCCATCAACCTCCGATACTCCTCGACAATATTCCTCCTCTCGCTTGCCAACTCCTCTCTGCGTCTCAAACTCGTCGCTCCACCAGCAGCAGGCACATTCGCAACATCGACCTTCGCCCCTCCGCGCACCTTAAACACCTCCCTCGGCTTCGTCAACTGCGGCGGCGCCTGCACCACATCCAACGGACTAATCTGTTTATTCATCCGTTCCTTCTTCAACTTCGCCCACGGATCCGCCTCCACCTTGGCCTGCTGCTGTTGCTGCAACCCCTTCTTCTTCGCCTTCCGCTTGCCCCCCTCCACCTCCCACTCCTTCCACAGCCGCAACTGTTCATCCATCTCCTCTTCGCGCTCTTCCCGCTCCGCCGCCTCCTTCTCTAATATCTCCGCCTCCTCCTTCCGCCATTGCGATTGCAGCCGTCGTAGGTGCTTCTCGTGCTTCGTCACCCGCGTTTCGCGGATCTTGGGCACATCTGTTGCGGACGGTTTCGCGCTGCGGGACATGTGGGAGAGGGGCATTTCGCGATCGACGCGCGCCGCGAAGTCGGAGAGCTTTTCGCCGGGAAGGATTTGGGGTTTTACTGCCTTTCCTTCGGCTTGCGAGGTTTCAGTGGTGGATGTAGTAGTGGTGGTCGCGGCCTTCCTCTTCTTGTTGTTCTTGTTGTTTGTTTGAGGAGTGACATCTTCGTCGGAGTCTGATGAGTCGGAATCTTGGTGTTTACGTTTCTTCTTTTGTGCGCCGTTCTGTTGCTTTTGCTGGAGTTGTAGCAAGTGGCGGAATGCGCGCGGAGTGTCGTCGGCCCATTCTGAGTTGGATTTGGATTTGGCTTTGCGTTCCCCAATGGCTTGTTTTGTGGGCTTGGCTGGTGGTTGTTGTTTGCCTTTGCCGCCTTTGCCTCCTTTGCCTTTGGTGGATTTGGAGGGATCGCGGACGGGAAGGGGTTTGGCGATTACGTTGGGGGGGAGATTGTAGGTGCTGTTGTAGTGGTTGGTTAGAAGGTTATCGTTGTTTATGATGGGTAGAAGACTTACTTGGCATCCTTCTCGCGACGCTTGTGTTTGTGAGGCATTGTGGTGGCTGTATATGTGGATTGTTGTTGTAGATGGTATCGGTGTTGGTGAGATCGAGTTGAAACTTTTTTTGAGTTTCCTTTTCGGGTGGGCGGCGTATCTTATCGCCGCTGATAAGGATGGAATCTTAATACAATCTATATCTATCTACGGAATACATTGGAGACTTGGTGGTTCAGGTTTGAGTCTGGTTGTTTCTACATGGTATCACTGTGTATACTGGCTGTCAGACAAATTGCTTCGCGGTATTTTCATTTATTCCTAGTGAGTGTTTGGTTTGGTGAAAAGGATCAAGGATGGTATAGTAGCCCTGCGATATATGTTGGTCCCTTCATAAGGCTAGCCTAGAATATATATTTCGGCCTATTAAACAGTACTAATCGACAGCATAGGGCAGAACTACTGTACTAGTACATGAACCCGACCATAAAAGGGACAATAGCAAATAAATAAAATCGTTAATATATTTCTATTAATCACTGACCCAATTAGTATTTCTAAGCATTCAACCACCAGGCTGAGGAGTGTAATCCGTACATCCGAAATGCAAGCTAGCCTGACCTCCTCTCGGATATAGACCACCAGTTAAAATGCGATGCAACGCTGGCCTACACTGTACTAACCTGAAGCCACACAACACACTGTCATTCGACATTCCTTAATGTCTCATACAATACTATAAGTGACCTCCGGTTCTGGTCTATCATCCTAGCAACAACCAGTGTTAACCCTGCCGTGTATGGAGTAGTAGTAATGTGTTGGACCGACTAGCTTTTCTAGTACCACTCACACTCTTGTTGTTCTGCACCGCTGCAGGCAGCCTGCAACCTGCAGTTACGGTTAGTGCGAGAAGTCTGGTCCGGCACTAATCAATTCCCCGATCACCTCATGCTTGCTCTCTGGATAAGTCGGCACCATAGAATGTCGTCCAAAGGTTCCATCCACATCCGCTGCTGTTCCGCGGGATTTTATTTTTATTTTTTCGCCCCGCCCCTGTACGTTGTGTCTCACGGTGGTGGCCGTGTCACTTTTCTGATGATCCTTGAGGGGGACGTGTTAGGCAACCACCTGGTCTTTTTGGTTCTTGCCTTATAGTGATTAATTACTACTAAAATGCTTGTGATGATGAAGAGGTAAGACGGGAAGACCCTTGAAACTAGTAACTAACTCTAAGATGTCCGGCATAAGCACTATTACTCAGTAGGAACAAGACTTCTTAGGCTGGATGAAGGGTAGTTTGAACGGGCCAATAATCAGGGCCAGTGCCGCACATGGGCGTGTTGGCTCGTACCCGACTTGTCCTGGCTTGACAGAAGGATTGTCGTATATTTCTACAGGATTAACATCCATGGATGGGGGAAAACGGTTAGCCAGCTACCGCCTGTGTACGGACAGGTCTGAACGAATCCCGAGTGTGGTCATCAGCACGCAGAGAGAGAGAGAGAGGGAAAAATGAGGGTGGGTGACATGGTTGATCGGTGAATATCAAAATTAAATATGACTGTGACAACCAATTTACCTTTGAGAGTGGAGATCGCTTCACCCTCACATCCTTCATCCTTTCCCGGGGCCCTGCGGCAACTCGGCTGCAACTGATGGAACCCACTGCACTTCCCTTCCCCCCCCCCTCCAGGGCACTTTCCCCCCATTGAATGAGTGAATCATGGGACGACCGTTGGTGGTCCGGGCAGCTTCTCGCTCGATTTATCGGAATTTGCCTGACCCTCGATGTAATATAAACCATAAACCATCCCCATCTTCCCCTACTACTACTGCCCTCTTTCCTCCCTTTCGGTTCCTGACTAGCAGTGAGTGAGTGAGTGAGTGGACAAGCAGTATGGCCTCTTCGTCTCCCTCGGCCTACCCTCATTCCACCTTCCCCAATCATGACGATAAAAGTCAATTGGACCGGTTTCCACTAGACAAGGATTTGGAGACGAGTACTGCCCTCAATGACTTGGCCTACGATGCTGATGTAGAAGCATCGCAATTGTACGCGCCAAAGCGACCACGATCGGGGGGCATGCGGGGAATCGTCTCTCTTATCGCCGCCTACTTATCGCCGCGGGAGAACAAAAAGAAGCATCACCGCCAGCCCGCCGACGCTCGCCCATTGCTCGCCTCCGCCAACAACGCCACTCCCACTGCCGCCTGGCATTCCTCCTCGCGACAATATCAAAGACTCAAATCACTATCGCAGTGCTTGTGTTACCCTCTTCTGGGACTCCTCGTCATGCTGTGAGTCGAGTTCCCCACCCACCCACCCACCCACCTTCCCTTCACCTCTTCCCCTAATGGGTGAGTGTTGCCGTCAACTCACCTCCAGCGTTTTAGGGGCGTCGTCCAGTTCATCTCCATCGCCTGCAGCATCGCTGTCTCCTTCTTCCCCGACGAATTCGACCGCGCCATCGAGCGGTGGCGTCATAACGATCAGCGATCCCCATCCGCGGACATACTGCATTGGCCAACAGACATCTCCAGAGATATCGTCCCCGTGGCATGCCACTCTCACAATGACTACTGGCGCCCCGTGCCGTTGTTCTCTGCCCTGCAGGCTGGTTGTACCGGCGTGGAGGCCGATGTGTGGCTCGTCGATAATGAGCTCTACGTCGGCCATACCATGTCTGCGCTGACGCCCCAACGAACCCTGCGCAACTTGTACATCAATCCGCTGCTGCGCATTCTCGAACAGCAAAACCCCATCACAGACCTCCACCCTCAGCGCGACAGTCCGCCGCAAGGGGTCTTCGACATGGATCCCTCGCAAACCCTAATCCTACTAATCGACTTTAAAACCGACGGTCAAGAAACCTGGAACTACGTGCATGCACAGCTTGCCCCGCTTCGCGAGCGCGGCTATCTTTCCTTCTTCAACGGCACCGACATCATTCCGGGCCCCATAACCGTTGTCGGCACCGGCAATACCCCCTTCAACCTAGTCACGGCCAACACTACCCACCGCGATATCTTCTTCGACGCACCACTCAACAAACTTGTCGACGACAATATCACCAACGAGGACTACGACAACGACGACGACGTCTCCCTCCCCAACGCGCCCGGAGGCGTACAAGACACAGGGATAGCCACCCGCGCCACCAAGAATGTCGGTCAAGGCCTCTCCGGCATTTCCGACGCAGAAATCGGCACCGACACCTTTGATTGGACCAATAGCTACTACGCCTCCGTCTCCTTCAAGAAATCCATCGGCATGCCCTGGTCCTTCCGGCTCTCCCAGCGCCAAGTCGATCAGATCCGCGCCCAGATCCGCGCCGCTCATCGCCGCGGCCTTAAAGTCCGCTACTGGGGCGTACCCGCCTGGCCACGGAGTCTGCGCAACCATCTCTGGAGCTTACTCGTCCGCGAAGGTGTTGATTATCTGAACGTGGATGATCTGCGCAGCGCTACTCGTCAGGATTGGCGGCCTAGAATCTCGGATTGGTGGAGTTGATTGTAAATAGTTCTTTTCTCTTTCTTTCTTTCTTTCCTTTTTTTTTTTTTTTTTTTTTTTTTTTGTTTTGATAGCTACGATAGTCTATCGAACGTTTCAGGTCTTATCCCTTACAAGAGGCTATGAACTGCATTCAAAGACAGGACTATTGCAAGGCGATATCTCTATCGATTAGTGAGCCCTGAATAACAACTTTCCGTAACAATTTTCTTTTTTCTTTTCTTTTTTTTTCTTTTCTTTTTTTTTTTTTTTTTTTTTTTTTTTTTTTTTTTTTTTACTTTTCTCACATACATCGCATGCAATGATCCCCCACGCTATTCACCTGGTGTGATGCATGATCTTCTACTTCTAGACGATGATGGCGACAGATAAAGATGGCGTTTATTGGTTTTGTTTTTTGCTAGGTAGATACCCACATGATGGCTTTGGGTCATTTTTCTTTTTGAGGAGGTCTGGTTTAGGTTTTTGCTACTAGTTGTTGTTGAGGGGAGATCTGGGGGTTGATTGGTTGGTTTACTAGATAGCTGCGGCAGTACTACTACAGAGTAGATGATGCTGACTGGCATTAGATAAGAGAAGAACAACTTCTGAACATCTTTGGTACGATCTGAGCTGATGATTTCTATAAAGTCTCCGTGGATGGATTACTTTGGACTGCAATCTCTTGGTGGCCAAAAATAACTGTTTGATTGAAACATGTCTGTTTCGGGGGATGCGTGATCCGGGTATCATCTATCTATCAAGATAGTAAAAAAAAGCAGGAAAAGATAACTGGCTAGTCCCTCCCGAGGGACGAGCAAAAAAGACGTAGTATGTATGAGAGATGAGGTACCTATGTGGACAGGTAGATCACATACAAAACAACGCCTCCTCGCCGAACTCGCGTAACACCGTGCCCTCCTCGCGCAGAATCCCACCCAGCCAATCCTTGGCCGTTGCAAATTCCTTCGCGCCAAATTTCACCAGCACAAACCCGGCACGCACCCGTGCTGCCGTAAATGTCACCTGAGAATCATAGTTGGGCGTGGACTCCATGGCGGCCGGCGCCGAGGAGGCCCAATTCCGTGCGCCAATCCTCGGCAGCGAGGTAAACCGGTCCATGATGAAAGACGCAAGCTTCTCAAAGACCGGCCCGTAGAGAATCATAGTCCCCACGACCCCATGCGGTCGGGTACGCTCCCGTAACAGATCACTACGGTCGCATGCGCCCGCTCCGTTGGCAAGAAGGGCCACGTCAACCTCGTCATCGAGAATGAGCGAGTCTCGGAGCAGCAGCTTCTTCTTTGGTAGTGCTCCCTTCCCGTCTGTTGTGGTAGTCCATACCTCGTTCTTGCCTCGCCATAGATGGAAGTCCCAGCTCTCACCACGGGACGTCCGGCCCTCTGTTACCCAGTCGAGAATGCAGAGACTGCTCTTGTTCAGACCGTCGACGGTGAACGTCTGGACTTGCTCGTAGCGGCTGTCTTTGTATGGTACAGCTGGGTCTGGCAGATAGCAGAGGGCAGCACCCTCGCCGACGTGGACATCTAATGTTTGCCGACTTTTGTCGGAGAGGGAGTGTTTGAGAGTGCTGCGGTGGCCCTTCATGCTGGTGGGCTCAGTTTTGAAAATCTTGGTGCTCCCTTGTGGTGTTGTCACGACCATGCGGGTGTGAGCTTCGAGGGTAATGGAGACAGAGATGTGGTCGCCTGGTAGCAGGCCTCCGCCGTATGTGAGAAGGTAGAGGTGAACGGGGTTGGAAGGACATTTTGAGAGGGCGGAGTTCTGCGGAACGAAGCCGGGGACCCGAGTGAGGAGTTTGAGAGGATATTTATAGGTGAGGGTCGTAAGGGAAGGATTTGATGGAGGGAGGAGGGAGAGAACCACCTTGCCATGACCAGGCTTTGCGATGGAGGACTCAAAGGGAGACTTTATCGGCATGGTTGCAGATTTTTTGTGAGGTACATGAACAACTAAGAAGTAGAAGAACAAGAAGAAGGAAGATAGCGAGGGAGGAAGAGAGAGGAATTGAAGGTGGATATTTTATGGGTGGAGGAAGAAGGAAAAGAGCGAGACGAAGACGGAATGCTTGGCTTTTAACCGCATGGTCGAGCAGTTGCTCATCGCGGCGTGAGAGGAGAACCAGATGATGAAATGGAGCTGGGGGTGACGATGTTTGCTTTCCCCAGGTCCGGGCCAGACGTTGGGGGGGGGGAAGGGGAGGGAAGGAGTGGACTATCGTCAGGCAAAAGGAACAGCTGATGGGCTGTGCTACTGCGCGGAGAGAAGATCGAGGATCGCCAGACTTCAATGGCGTCGCAAGAATCAGCAACGAGGCGGGGTCTTGATGGAGATGACTGGAATTTGATGGTCTGGCACTTCTTGGCCCTTCAATCGCGTCTTTTTTAGGAAGTCGCGATGGAGCCCCCCGTGGTTTCCATTACGGCATCGATTACTTCCTCCTCCGCACTTCCCGCTTTGGGGCTTGCGCCAGGGCTAGGGTTGGTCCCGTCACCTGGTCACCTGCCCGCCAGTGCCAAGCGTGCACCTTCCCTCTTTAGGAGTAGCTCGGTAATCATCTTTTTTATTCTTTTCCGCCTGTCAGTTTACACCCTCCGTACAAAAGTCACGGGTCTGGATTGTGTATTATTGAGAAGCGGAGTTTGTCGCCTGAGGCTGCCACGTCTGCTGGCTCCCCGTCATCGCCAGGCACCAAAGCGCGTCGTCCGTCAACGAGCCAAAGTCAAGATCCCCAAAGTCCCTCCTCCGTCGTCCCATCTCCCCCCCCCCTCCCTCTCTCCTCCCCGTATCGCTTGGGTCCCGCTCCCGACTTCCGCATGTCCTCAATTGCTTCCTCTTGGAATTGATTCATCCTTTTTTTTACGATTCTTCCCCGCCCGCTGTCCGCGTGTTGCAACGTGCCTTGAACGCGCGCGCAAATCCCGGATAGACATTGGGAAACCCCCAACATCGCGTTTGACGGCTCCCGTTTCATCTCTATCTTTGGCGAATCACCCACCCCCACGTCCAAGTACGCTCTACGCCCTGCAAAATCTCCAGAGGATCTTCTTACAATCAACTCCGTTGGATTCCGACTGACCGTTGTTCCGACTTACAGTGATATAATATCTCTCCCCGACAGACAGACAACATGGAAGCCGAATCGCCCCTCTCAACACCCCAGCCGGATCACACCCAGAGTGATGCCTCCCCGTCAACAGACAGGAGGAAATCGGGTCGCGTGACACGAAAACCAGAACTGTATTCCCAGAGCTATGGCGCCAGCAATGGTGCGACCGCAGGCGGGGCTAAACGCAAGCGCACCACGACTGGCGATGATAACGATGATGACAATGAACTAAGCAACGAGGACGCGTCCGAGTCAGACAGCGATGAGCCCGGCGACGAAGATCCCGACGAAGAGGAACTGCGCGAGAAGAAGCGGGCGGCGCGCAAAGCAGCCGCCAAGAAGCAGTCGTCCGCATCCAAATCAAAGCCCAAGTCCCGTACCGCGAAGAAACCCAAGGTCGCTGGCAACGGTCTGCCTAGTCGCCTGGCCCTACGGCCCGCTGCCAATGGAAAGAAACCGGTTTCGCGTCCCAGACAGATGAAAGCGCGCCTCACCATGGCTGCGCGCGAGGGTGGTCTCTATGGTAGGTGGTTGACCCCAATTTATCCCTTGGCGTAAGTGCTCTGGCTGACATGGATATCTCTACTAGCGGAGGTCTTTGGCAAGGGACGAACCGTCGAAACAGTTGCGGCGGAATGGCTTACGCATTATCAAGAAGAGCAACAGGAGGCAGTGTGCGACATGGTTAACTTCATGCTGAAATGCTCGGGAACTGATCTGGAAGTGACGACGGTTGATATTGAAAATGTCGACCACGCCCCGCACCGTGTGTCTGATTTGGCAACGCAGTACCAAGAACTAGGAATTTCCGAGTACCCTTTGATCTCCAAGTCCAGGAAACTGAGGTCTTTCCACCCCGTTTTGGAGAGTTTTATCATGACCCTGATCCAAACCCTGCACCACTCGTCCGTGCTATACAACGATCCGAATCTATTCGAAAACATCCAAGTTTGGATCTCGTCCCTGTCCTCTTCTGGGTGCCGGCCGTTCAGACATACCGCTACCGTCGTCTCCCTGGCCACGATGAACGCTTTCTGTGATATTGCGCGGGAGGTCAACACCACGGTCTCCACGTCCCGCAAACAGCTGGAAAGTGAGAAGAAAAAGCGGTCAGTGAACAAGGGCCGAGCCGAAGCCATTGAGACAGCGATCGAGGAGGGTGAAAAGAAGCTGGAAATGATCGACGACTACCTGAAAGATGGTGTGAACGTCGTCTTTGTCCATCGCTACCGGGATATTGACCCCGCCATCCGCGCCGAGTGCCTGGCAGCGTTGGGACGCTGGATGCGCACCTACCGCGAGTATTTCTTCGAGGGCCAGTTTCTCCGTTATTTCGGCTGGAACCTGTCTGACGCCGCGGGCCAATCTCGTGCAGTGGTGGTTGAGCAGCTCAAGTCCCTCTATGAAATCAAAGACAACATGGCAGGCCTTCGGTCGTTTACGGAGCGTTTTCGCCAGCGGCTGGTGGAGATGGCGGCCCACGATGCAGAGATCACCGTGCGCACTTCTGCCATCGAGCTGCTTGACCTGATCCGCGATGCTGGATTGATCGAACCGGCTGATGTGGATACAGTCGGCAAACTCGTCTTCGACTCCGAACCCCGGATTCGCAAAGCGGCTGGTCGCTTCTTTGTTGCGAATGTCGAGGATGTGTTCGATTCCACGATGGAAGAGATGGCAGAGGAGGCTAGCGAGATCTTCGGTGACGAAGATGAGGACGATTTCGAGTCACCAAAGCGCTCTTGGATCAAGTTCAAGTGCTTAGCGGACATTCTCCAAGCTTACGACGATCTCGAGAATGAAAGCGCCGAGGAACCCGTGGCGCCACGAGATGCGCTTTCGGGTGCTCCGATGGACACACGTTTCGTCCTTGCTACGGAGGCCATCTATCCCCATCTCACCGACCTTGCTCACTGGCAGTCTTTGGCAGGTTACCTTCTCTATGACCATTCCCAGATCCCGGAGGAACCCAGTGAGGATGATACTGCTGCCGTGGTCCGGAAATCGTACAAGATGCAAGAGGGCCAGGAAGTGATCCTTCTGGAAGTACTATGCTGCGCAGTTAAGCTGCGCGTCCTTGAGATTGCCAAGTCAGACATTGATAAGAGGGGCCGAAAAGTGAAGGCATTGACCGACAAGATCCCAGAACTGCAGGAGGAGATCTCGCACAGCCTGGCGCAGATAATTCCGCAGCTGCTAAACAAATACGGCTCCGTACCGGAGGCGGCATTTGCTGTCTTGAGGCTTGAACATCTGGTCGACCTGGAGAAGATCGAGGATATTCAAAAGGACGCGACAGCTTATACCTCGTTGTTGAACGACATAAACAAGCAGTTCCTAACCCATTCAGACCAGGATGTCCTGGCTGAGGCCAGCGTTGCGTTCATCCATGCAAAGAGCTCCGATGATATGCGTGAGGCGCTCGAGGGCAAAATTCAGGAGTTATGGGACAACATGGTAGAGACTCTGAGTACTCTGTCACAAAAGGAGGACGTGTCAAAGGGAGGCTCGATATCTCCCGCTACATTGAACGAACTCGTCAACACAGCGATCCGGATATCTAACCTTGCCAGTGTAACTGACTGTACGCATGTCTTGGAAAGCATGCCCTCTGGTCGATCAAAGGGTAAGCGCGCAGGCGTTTCTGAAGCACCTTTCAACGCTCTTGTGCATTTGGTGAAACGGGGGCTGCGCGACCCGGAGGACGATGAGGATCTGGCCAAGGCAGAAAGTGAACTGGTTACCAACAGCATCCGGACGCTTCTGTTCTACTTCATGTGGAAGGTGCAGACATTAACCACGGCCCTGAATGCAGGGAAGGCATCGTTTAATACGGCATACTTCGAGGCTCTGACCAAGGGCCGTGAGATCTTCATCACAACACTTGTTGCTATCATGAAGCAGCGCTTGGGATTGGATGACATCCGGTTCTGCGCGGCCACGACGCTCCTAGACCTTCAGACCCTGTTCGGCACCCTTCGCCATGCTGGACTGAGTGCGGCCAATGACGAGGATGTGATCCTCCAGACTCAAAGCCTTGTTCAAGAAATTGGGCGTGAGCCAAAGACGCTCATCGCCAGGATACATTCCATAGCAGAACGCACGTATGCGAGAAAGATACGAGTTCCCATAAGGGCTGCCGACGACGACGGGCTATCCGACGAAGACATCCGGAAAGCACCCCAGGATGAAGACGACGAAGAGTCTGAACCAGAAGAAATCCTGGATGACGAGCGCCTCCGATCGAGCATTATTGCGGAACAGCGCTTGTGCGAACTGACCGGAAAAATCGTCCTCGCCATCGTCGGTCGCATTATCGACGCTACCGGATCAGACAGTGGAGCATTAACGAAGAAACTGCTCAAGAACAGGTCCCAGCTGGGTCGAAACTACCGTGAAGTCCTCGCCTATCTCGGAGACCGCAAGCCCAGCAGGAGCACAGCAACACGAGCCGCTCCCCCACGAAGTAAACAACAATCGGCGCAAAGCAAAACCCAGAATGGTGCCGGCGCCAGCAAGCGAGCAGGAGACCTTAAATCCGCCGAACGGATAGACGACGAAGAAGAGGACGAAGATGAGAACGACGCTGAAGAGGAATCCCATCACGAAGATGACGAGGAAGAGGATCTACGAGCCCGTGGCCTTCTCGAAGAGGAGAACATCGACCAAGACAATGTCGAGGAGGAAGAGGATGAGGATGACAATCCAGATCCAGATGAAGACGAAGTTATGGGTGATTAGATTTATCCTTATTTTTATCGTATCATTCATGTCTTGTCTACTCCATTTGATATCTTCTTTTCGGACGAAAATTTTACTAGGGAAAGGCACACGCAATGTCAGGGTGTCAATTTGCTATGCTAGGCCCATTTGTATCTTTTCTATTCGATTGTGATTCGGTGTGATGATTTTTTATATCTTCTTCTTTTCGATTCTCCCTCCTGTCCTTTCAATTCCATATGCTGGGTCTTATTTTTTTCTTTTATTTCTTTTCCTACTACCCCCCGGCTTTCCCTCTTGCTGTTACTACTATGTAGCCTGGCCTGATATCACTACTCCTCGTTTCTTGATTTACATCTGTCTCCATTACACCCGCCTTTTCTCCAGACAATGAAGGATTATTTGCAGACTGTACCTTTCTCTCCAATCTCCGTAGATTGTCGACCTAAGTTTAATTTACGCTCTACGGACTTTTTCCTTCCTTCCTTCTATCATTTTTCCTCGAACAAAAAGTATTACTTCAGTCAGTCGTGTCACCTGTATTCCAGTGGTACCATTCCCTTACTGTATTATTGAGTACAATTTGACTTGTGTGTCTATCTATCTCTTAGGGTATCACATTTCGGATGCGGACTGGATTTATTCAAAGGGATGAGTGACAAGGGGTTTGGAATCATTTGACTGGCTGGACTGATAAGTATAGAGCGACTAATCAAGTGTATATATAGACTATTTTGTTTCAGGGAGTTGACTACTTGGAAGTTCCAAAAAAGTTTTGGATACTCGTAAAAAGACGTAAGCGTGGTGAAAAGAAAATTGTCAATTTTAAGGGCTAGGTCTACTATCCATCATGGCTGGTCTGTTGGATCTCGTTGAGTTATACTAGGTTTGTTCCTGTATCTCTAAGGAAACCAAACCACATCCAGAGACAGAGCCAGTTGCCTGCATATGCCGACACCAACGCCTAGTAGTATTCCTTTATTTTTGTCTCTCTAGGCGGAAGGGGACGGAGAGCACCTAGGCCCGCAAAACAAATCACAACCGAAGGGAACATCCAGAGGAAATGAACAAGAATGAGACCGAAATAAAACAAATACGCCTGTGTATGAGGGATGCTACGGGGTGGTACCAGAGTGATGGGCACGTATAAAAAGGGATACATGATGGTGAATCTTTATCGTTCGTGATGGTCAAAACAGAGGGGGAGAAATCATGATACGGGAAGGGAAAAGGGAAATGGGGGAGGGGGAGGACAGAAGGGGGTAAGAATGTGGAAACCTGGGAGGGCAAAACAAGAAAGGGTCTGAAGAGACTGCGAAGTTACTCCAACAAGGATGGCGAGAAGCCACATTAGACACCGCTGTTCTTGAGTCACGAGAAGCCTGGAAAAATTAGGTGAATATCCCGTCCCAGGGCCTCCACGAACTCGAGGTTGAGGGTCCACATGGCGGCGTGGTAACCGCCAGGTGTAGATCTAGCGAGGAAGTAGAATCGAAATAGATGGGTGCAGATCTCTCATGTGGGTCATGGTTTCATTGCCAGTAAAATGCGTGTCAATTTTGTTTCTTCTTTTACATATCCATGGAGTCACCACCATTGGCGAAGTTGAATCCGCCCTGCTGTTGCGTGGTGCCGAGGGCGAATCCAGTCTGGGTCTGCTGAGGAGCAACCTCATCAATGTCACCAGCCTCGTCCTCATCAGAGAAGTACTTCTCGATGATGTTGTATGCCTTCATGTAGATCTCCTCGTTGGCGTTGTTCTGGCAGTCATGGATCTTCTCCATACCACCGGCCTCTTCGATGAACAGAGCGTAGCGGTTGACGTTGGCCTCAGACTGGCCAGCCTCCTTGTCCATCTCGCCGACCTTGAGGATGTTCTCCAGACCATCCAGAGCAACCTGGATGATCTTGTTGTCAGGGCAAGCAAGAAGGTCGCACAGGGGCTTGATGCATCCCTGGGACACGAGGTAGCGGATCTGGTCAGGCTTCTGCAGACCACCGGAGGTGGCGTTGGAGATGGCCCAGCAGGCCTCCTTACGCGTCTTGAAGTCACCGTTCGCCAGCAGGTTGATCAAGGGAGGGATGATGCCGGCGTCGACGACAGCCTGGATCTGGCTGGAGTTACCGGCAGTGATGTTGGAGATGGTCCAGCACGCCTCCTTACGGATACCGTCCTTGGTGGAGCTCAGCAGAGCGAGGAGGGCGGGAAGAGCACCGCAGTTGATGATGACCTGGGTCTGGACGTCGTCACCAGTGACGATGTTACCGACCGACCGGAGAGCGGGGGTCTGGACCGAGGTCGAGGCGTGCATGAGGAGCTCGACGAGACGGCGAGGGATGCCGGCCTCGATGACAGCCTGAATCTTGTCGTTGGCGCCATCAGACAGGTAGGAGATGGCCCAGCAAGCATCGATCAGGACTTCATCATCAAGCATGTAGATGAGCTTAGCAAGGACAGGAAGAGCGGGGGCAATCTTTGAAATCCAATGTTAGTGACAAAAGCTCGTTAGGATGAGCAGATAGGATGACATACAGTGTTCCAATCAGGCTGAGGCGTCTTGCCGCGGCAGAAGTTGCTCAGGGTCCAGGTAGCGTTGCGCAGCATGCTCAGCTTCCGGCCATCGTTGATGAGGTTCAGCAGAGGACGCAGAGCACCGGCGTTGAGAACGAAGTCACGGCATTGAGGGCTGTCACCCGCAATGTTACCAAGGGCCCAGACGGCCTGCTCACGAACATCGGGTTCAGGGCTGCTCAGGAGTTCGCAGAAGATCGGTACAGCACCAGCCTCGATAACGACCTGGGTCTGTTGGGCGGAACCAGAGGCAATGTTGGTCAAAGCCCAAGCAGCTTCGAACTGAACAAGAGTGTGGGGGGATCGGAGGAATTCAACGAAGCGGCTCACGACACCGGTCTCGATGACACGCTCAATGGGGGGGTTGCGCTCCTTGGAGAGCAATTTCCTGAACTTGGTGGTGGCTTGGATCTGCTGGTCGATCTGATCGGAGAAGACGCCCTTAACCATCTCGGGGAGCTCCACATTAAGCTAGAAAACCATCCATTAGCTATTTTGCACAGTAATGAATACATCTTGGCTGAGCGCGAAGGGAGTCTTGATGATGCTGGTCGTGTGCTTGTCCAGTCAGAGCCGAATGAGGGCTCGCCCGGCGGCAAAGCGGTGAAAAGCTCTCGCTGGGACGCATCTGGACAAGCAAGAGCGACCAGAAAGAAAGATTCGAAAACGGGGAGCCGATGGGCCCAGCTCCCGGTCGGGAAAGGAACAAAGAGATCGAACAATGAGATACAAACAAAAAAGAAATGCAGGAACCGCATACCTCACTCTCGATGGCGCTGGCCTCATCATCACTCTCGGCAGCTACGCCGCCGCCCACGCCAATGCCGCCATCGCGGGTCTGGATACCTCTCCTCTTGGCCAAATTCTCATCTCTCTTCTGCTTTCTGATCTCAACCTGTTGTTCCTCACGACGACGACGAAGCTCGTCAGGCCGGAACTGATTCCGGGCCTTGAACTGAGTGCGACGATGTTCGGGGATGTAGCGCTCGGCCATGGTTGCTTGGGACACAGAGGGGTGAAAACAAAGCGCACCACAACCGGGTGGATTAGCTTAAGAGATGAGGAGAGAAAAAGAGTGGGGGGAAAGAAGAAGGTGAGATAGATAGCAAGATGTGGGAGATGGGAATCCCAGCGAGCTAAATAAGGGGATAGAGAAAGAGGCTAGACAAAGGAAGAAAGGACAAGCGCAAAGCTGAGATGGTAGAAGGAGGGGAAAAAAGTGTTGATGCTCTTCGGAGGTGGGATTGCCCAGTCACGGGACGCCGCTGATTTGCTGTTTTCGTCCAGCTCCGCCCGCAAGCGCCACTTCCGCCTAAGCGAAGTTGGCGCGGACTTGTCTCTTTCTTTTTCCTTTCAACGCCTCTGCGTGTTTCTCTAATCTATTCTGTATCAGACTCATCGAGAAACCTTCTGACGCTGTTCTGGAAAAAGCTGTCTTGCTAGCCATTTCTAATTCGGGCCTTTCTGGTGGATGCATTGTTTACGTGTATTACTACTAATTGCTCCACCTGGTCCCGCGTCGATCTATTCGCGGTTCGATCAACAATACTACTTCTAGTAATTTCTCTATCTATATCAATAGCCAAGGAGGTCCGAACTCACGGCGTCTCAATCTTACATTGGATGCATTAGATGCATCAGGCTCTGTTCTACCGTGGCATCACTATGCATTGTGCGACATAACGTAATTTTACACCATGTCAGGCGGCTATGCCTCCCGGTTCGTGGATGTGTCCACCGCACTCTCTACGCAGGGCAAAGTAAGTGTCATTGGCGTCGTAGTCGACGTCTTCGGCGGAATATGGAAGTCTAGAGGCTCGTCCAGCTGTATTACCTTCACCATCAAGGACTCAGGTCTTGACAACGGACATACATGGGACGGGTTGAAAATCAAATATTTCAAAGACAATGAGAGCCATTTACCTCCCGTCCAACTACGCGACGTGATCCTGATACGAGATCTGTGGGTTCGTGAGGCAAGACTTGACCCCTTCCTCGGTGACAGACTGACGCTTTGACTGCAGATAAGGAACTTCAAAGGAGACCCGTTGGGAGTCGCTGCCCAGGACAGAGAAGTACCATGGGCAATCTTTCGCCTGGACCCGGATCCCACGTCTAGCCCTGCGCCCCTTTGTGGCCCTACGCACTTTGAGCCATCTCCTTCAGAGAAGATACATGCTTTGAATTTGTTGAATAGCCTCACTGCAGTCGATGGTTTTCGCAAAGCTCCAGCACAAGATACTCCACGTGGCTCCTATATTGTCCAAGCTGCAATTCCAAATTCCAAACCTTACCCGCACAAGAGGCTCTCTCTTGTCAAGGATATTGTAGAGCGAAATTATGTTGACCTCGTGGGGCAAATTGTCAAGGTATATACCAACGACAGTGAAAAGGTCGTCCTCTATTTCACCGATTACACGGCCAACGATGGTCTCGAAGACCGCCAAATAAACGATGCCGGTGACAATGACTTTGGCACTGAAGGAGATATCTACGGTTACCAAAAACGACCCAAGAAGAAATGGACAGGACCAGTTGGACGGATGACCCTCACAATCACACTCTGGGAACCCCATGCATCCTATGCGCGCCAACATCTGAAGGATAACGATCTCATCCAGCTATACAACGTGCATGTCAAGCGCAGTCGCATCAATGGGATATTAGAAGCCAGTATCCACACAAACCGCACGAATCCAAATTCAGTCAATGTACACACCCTGGATCGTCGCAAAGACACGTTTGTCGAACAATTTCTGCAGCGTAAGACGGAATACTGGAAAGCGAATCCTCGGAAGCGGGAACTCGAAAACGAAGGCCAGCAGGTTTCGAAGAAAAGCACCAAGAAACAGCGAAAGAAAGCCGAAAAGGTGGAAGAAGGCCAAGTTCCCATAACAGCAGCAAGCAGCAAGCGATATGCGCCAAATGAAAACAGTAAGTCATGCCGTCTTAGTAATAACCACTGGGGCATCTTACAGTTGATTGACAGTCTATGATAGTCATAGCAGGCAGCCCGTCCGTCCCTACAATGTCCCTGGAAGCGATCCTTTCCAACAAACTTCATGACAACATCTCATATGACAACATACAGTACCGCTTCCCCTTTCAAGACTTCTGCTACCGAACCACAGTCCGCGTGGTCGATTTCTTCCCCCCACGACTGGAAGACTTCTCCGTCCCCGAAGACTCCTCGGGTGAGGGTACCTCTCAGAGAGATCCCGATCGTTTCATTAGATGGGAATGGCGCTTCTGTCTGCTCGTGGAGAGCGTCCCTCCTCCACCCGCAGGTCAAGCGAAAGAACAGATGAGGTTGTTTGTAGCTGGCCCAAATGCAGAGTATCTATTAGGGCTGACTGCAGTTGAGTAAGTCATCTCGGCTCCCTCACATATCGACACTAAGATCGCCGTGAGATCGATTATCTAACCATAACTCTTCCTATGTCCATTAGTCTGAGACAAAACCAAACCGATCTGAAAGAACTCCGAGAAAAGCTCTTCATCTTATGGGGCGACCTCGAGGAGCGCAAAAGAGCGGCCCTACACGATGGCAAACAGGACCTCGGCCCAGTTTCATGCAGGCCTTTCAATTGCTGCATTCAAGAGTATGGTGTTCTTTGCAGACATCGTCCTGATACTGAGAACACCAACACTAATAATGAAGATGATGAGAATGGCTGTAGCCATGATGACTGCTTTGGATGGGAGAGGCGCTTTTCTATGTTCCTTACTACTATTTCCTAATACATTGTTGCAAAACGGCTTCTGGGAATATGTGATGTTGTCTGCTTTTGTATACATAGGGGATTTTGTTTTGCTTTTGGCGCCATGGTCATCGGAGGACTCGAGTCTTGGGGACACTTGTATACAAATTTGAAAGATTTCTGCTCCCGACCATGCGGTGATGCACAGCAACAGTATACACTGAATGATTATAAGAAATCAGAGTCTGAAGATGGTATTATTATCGATAAAGTAAGATATAGAATGACTTGGATATCGAAAGCGGCTAAGAGACCGGCAAAAGTGTCATATTGATAGCAATCTCACAGATTAAGTAACGAAGCTAGGGATATTCATCAATATATGTACCATACGCGAGGGAGTGGAAAACCAAAAGTAGGAAGCACGCCAGCAAACAGGAATATCGATGTTAATGGGCCAGAAACTTGTGAAGAAAGTCCAATCTCATCTGCGCGAAGTCATTACAAAGGCCAAAGGAAAACACAACTTTTGTGGCTAGAGCAATGCAGGTTCTGTCTCGCGCTGCAAACTTGAAAAGAGGTAATGGCGTTCGCTTCCCCAACTATTATATCCATAATATTAGACCTTATTTAATTTAACGATATTGGTGTCGATGCCATGGGCGGCAGGATCAAATCGACAATTCGAACCCCAGTAACAGTCCCTTTTCCCGGGTTCTGCATGAGGGCATCGATGCCCATATGTACATTCCGGATCATCGCATTCTAATCCGTATCGGCAGGGGGTCATGCGGGCGATGGCGGACAAGATTGAAAGTTCATTTTTGGTCAACTTGCGCGAGTGGTCGTGCTGACAGTTATCAACTGTACATTCTCCTAGAAGGTAATGAAGGTTGCATAATTTCAGTTTCTTGAGGCGGTTCAGTTCTTCTCGTGGTATGCTTTTAAAGTCAACTCGGTCTACACGTTGACCGTACTTGTTTCGTTCAACGATCTTGGGCCGTGCGGGTGTAGCTGATTTCGACTGTACCACTTGGAACTCTCCAGGGCTTGACGGCCTTGCAGACGTGGAAGACAGCGATGTACTGGCGTTTGTTGACGTGCTGGTCGAGGTTCGTGACAGTGGCACTGCGCCTGGTTTCGGTGATGGGGTGAGAGCGGGAGGAGGTTTGGACGCCACTGCGGCTTTCCATGGGGCCCAGACAGGTGTTATTTTTGTATTTCGGAGAATTTCCGGAAACTGTGAGACTCTGTACGCGGCCTTGATTTTGGCTAGGTCCTTTTCAAAGGTGACGCCCTCGATCAAGGTTACTCTTCCTACAAGGTCAATGTCTTCCATTATATCCACCAAAATCTGGGCATATGCACTGGTGTCGGCGCATCCTAAGAAGATTTGATGACAGTGACAGTTATATAGGTTGACCCTGAAGGCCTCTGAAGACGGCGAGCAGTAGGTCAGCGCATCGTTGTAAGTTGAATACCAATGTAAGTGCTTTGGACAAGAGCCTTGATGCGTACCTGCGATCTTATCATGTGCGTTGTCCAGTCCAGTATCCACAAGGTCAAATAGTGGATGGCCATTGTTGAAGCCCCTAGCAAAGCCCTCGACTGATGATGGGTCGGTGCTAATGACGCCTCGGACACACATCTCACTCAGGCCCTTTAAGTTGACGTACATCCTTGCGATTATCTTTGGAGCATCAAGGCCTGGGAAATTGCTGGCAACATAGTCTTTTAGGGCGACAGCAAGCTTCTTGGCTGCAATCTTTCCACCTTCTTCTCCCTTTTGTAAAAATTCATCTCTGAAGATGATGCCAGTTCCATCTAGTAGCACAACTATGAAGGGCTCGCGGTCCTAAAAGCGGACGAGCATCGTTAGCACAGACCAGGCTGCGGAACTATAAAGGTCCCACCATTATGGCCTTGATCCTCGCGATATGCTGCATTAACTCCATTTCATGAAGCTGGATATCACGATTAAACCGCGTTTCACGTTCATGATCGAGTTTCTCTTGCTGGAAGGCTGCCTCCAACTCTGTCACACGCTGCAAAAGTTCCTAGGTGCAGGGAGTGTAACGTCAACATGGAGCACTTGATACTGTGATGCTGAGCGGCTACCTCGATTAGGATATTCTTATCTTGTTCTATAGAAGCCAGCTGTTTATATCGCTCGAGATACTCCGGCGCTGTCATGATGAACTAGATAAGGTTCGAGCACTAAGGGACTTAGAGGAGGGAAGTGAGAGAGCGATCTTGGGAAGCTCAAGGCTATAGAAGCACCGAGAATGGGGAGGGTGATGGTTGGCGGCAGAGACGGCGGCAATCGAGATTATGGAGCCAAAAAGAATAGTAGATTGGGCAGACTGCGGGGAGTCAATACTATCGGGACCGAGTTTACTGTACAATCACGAAGAGAGTGCAAGATCTACAGAGACAGGTGAACTGGGCTGGCACAAGCCTAGAGCAAGTCACCATCAAAACAGCCGCATGAGGCGCCAACCAGTCACGAGCCGCCGGCCGGGGAGAACTGGGGCTGAGTCAGCCCGCCGCATGGGGAACCATCCCAGCCAACCTGAGGCAGTATTGAGGCTACGTGGAGAAATTGCCAGTTCCCCTTCTCTTTCTTACTGCTTCTCCTCTCCCACTTACTTACTTCTCTCTTCCTTTCCATCCACCTCTGGTCCGATCGCCTCTTCGATCTTTCTCTTCTCCACCCTTCTCCCCCTCCCTCCTCACCCTCACCCTTTCTCTTCTCGTCCTCAATTCCCGGTTCATTCACAATGGGTCGCTTTGGTTTCTTGTCCCTGGCTCTCCTTTCTGTCCAGGCCTTGATTGGCGGCAGTCTCGCGGCGGTACGTTCCCTCTCGCGTGACTCCCATCGTCCCACTGTCAATTGAGTTGCTGACGCGATGTCGCATGTTACTAGGATGCTGCTGAGAAGGAGGATCTCCCTGAAACCCAATTGCTTTCTGTCACGGCCCACGCCTCCTTCCCTGCCTCCGAGATCTTTGGTGTCAAGCTTGTCAATGGCTACCCGACCGAGGCGCTGATCACTTTCGCCAATGAGGAGGAATCTCCCGTGACTGTGAACTTCATTGGTGGTTCCTTGTCGGCAGTTGAAGGAGAAAGCAGCCAGATTGTTCGCAACCTGACTGCGCACCGTTACAGCGTTGAGATCCCGGCCGGTCAGCAGGAGAGCGTCAGCTACAGCTTCGCTACCGAAATGCACCCCCAGGATTTGCTGCTCACCCTCGCTTCCGTCATCTCTGATACCGATGGCAACCTCTTCACTCTCTACGCCTACAACGGCACTGTCAGCGTTGTTGAGCCGGAGACCAGCATCTTTGACCCTCAGATGTAAGGCACTTTCCTCGCAGCTCGCCGATAAGGCCAAGCTAACCCTATTGTTACTAGCCTCTTCCTGTACTTCTTCCTCCTGGCTTGCTTCTCTGGCGTCGTCTACTTCTTCTACACCGTCTGGATCGCTCCCTACTTCCCCCAGAAGCGCCGCGCTGGAAAGGGCCCCGAGTACAAGAAGTCCGCTGGTATCTCCAAGAAGGAGGCCCCCGTTGAGGCTCCCAGCAGCCCTGCTGTCTCGTCTGCCACTACCTACAACGCCGAGTGGATCCCCGCTCACCACATCAACCGTCCTGAGGCCAGGAAGGTCAAGGGTAGCGCCAAGGCTAAGAACCGTGCCTAAATGGCCCTTGCAGTGCTGAGTCGATGGGTGATCTGTGAGGAGATATTGGGAAGGGCTTGGAGTCGGAGGGAACCTTGGTTGGTTCTCTCAGCGACTCTGGAGTAAGGCTAGCGGACTTGGGAAAGGGTCACTGAAAATGTGGCCCACCAGGAGTTATTGCTGCCTTGGATTTGCGTGTACATTTACTTCAAATTGATATTTATAATCGGAGCTCACGCAATCAGCCAAGGGGGACTGCATGGTCGGTTCCCCGCATCACTCCATCAAGTATCAATTGAAGCTCAAGAAGAAATGGCAGAACGTGCCTCTAGCCCCCTTTCGCTTATACCGTCCTGCATCATGCGGGTAGTCATGCGCCTCACAGCTTTCTCCATGCATCAAACTCCTCCTTTAAATGTAGCTTCAACTCGGCGAATTTGTTCCCAAATTTCTTCCCACAGCGCCAACAGACAAAATCCCTGCGCAGGTAGCCTTGTTCATCGGGATGCCTCCGCACATCATCCGGCGCCAGTGGGAAATCATCAATATTGACGAAAAACGGTGTAGAAAAGCTATTGTAATGTTTCCTATGCTTGAGACGATCGCTGAACCGATCCACGGAGATAACGTGCACATGCAAGTGATTCATGGAGGGATGCGCATGAATTCCACACATGATCTCTTGCTCCCAGTTCCTCCCCGGCGGCAGCTCCTCCAGCGGTGGTTCTACATTCAGGGCCTCCTGTCTTTCCTTATCCTGCGCCGAGTATTTCCCATGTATTCGTCTGAGCTCACCAGCCGCGAGTTTGCGGAGCTTCTGCGTTTCCCTTTTCACTTTTGCCAGGAAGTCGGCGTCCTCGAAGGCTTCGAATGGATGGAGGCGCGTTTTCTGAGGATCTCGTGGGAGAAGTAGGAGGTGGAGGGTTGCCTTGGGGAACATGTCGTGAATGACGACGAAATCATCGTCGTAGTATACTACTACGTTGGAGGGGAAGGTTTCTGGTTTCGCGATGTAGACGCCTAGGCCGTCTCGGGGGCCACCGATGGCTCGCCTTTTCGAGGTAGTAGGAGTGTGTTTGGAGGTGCTAGGATCGCCATGTTTGGGATGTTTAGGTTTCGGAGCAAGTAGTTCTGTAACTGAGATAGGAATAATCAGTTAGTGGTTCCTGCGTCTGGTATGCAAGGGGAGGGAGAGGGGTGAATCGGTGTTTGTGTTCGGAGCGTACAGGCGTCTCTTTTCGCTGGCTTGGGCGGTGGCTGCTGCGCTTCTGCGGGCGCGACATCCTGTTCTGTGGGGCTGTCGAGCTCCAGAGTTGGAGAGTCAGCCATCGTAGTAATGATTCTAGCTGACGAGCACAGCGAGTGACCGGTGCAGAGCTGTTATGGGTGAGATTCAGAGCTCTTACGTATGATGCGGAGAGGCCGAAGCCATGCGATGCGATCAGCGGCGACTCCCCGCAGCCCTACCCAAAAGATCAAAGCGGCCTAGTGCGGGACAAGCCAACCGCGGAATCGTCTCAGAAACTCCCGCTGCTTCTTTTCAATACCAGGAGTGCTCTAGGTACCTTTTTGGATTCTCCTCAACGGCCTGAGTTGCTCCACGGGCGTCTGCTCTAGATTACCTGCAGCTTTGGAATTATGGCCCCCAAGAAAAAGAACGACGCCCGTGGAGGAGCCCCCAAACCGGGGACCAAATCAGCCAAAGCCGCCGCCGAACGATCGGCGGAGACAGCGAAGAAAGCGCAGGCTTCCACGGAGGAGCCTAAGAAACCCTCTGTGAAGGAGGTCATCGGAGGCGCATCATGGACCGGAAAACTGCCGGTCAATATGCTCGCGGAGCATTGTCAGAAGCAGAAGTGGGAGAAACCTGAGTATACAATGGTACGGCCAATGGTGGCCTATCTTCGTTTGATTCACTACTTAATGAATTGCGAAGTCAATATGCTGACAATACCACCGCAATGCAGATAAAAGTTTCAGAGGGCTTTGTTTCCTCCGTCATCTTGAAGCGCGTCGATCCTAAGACTCGAGAAACTGTCGTACTCCCTCCTATGAAGCCACCCCCGTCCCACAAGCATCTCGCTGCGCAACCTACGGCATTAGAGGCGCGCCATTTCGCAGCTGCTTATGCCCTATTTCGAGTGTGTAACATGAAAAATCTGCATATGATGCTTCCGCCTACCTATAAGAAGCTCTGGAAAGAGGACTTCACGGAGATCAAGACGGCAGATACCAAGGGAGGGAAAGGATGGATGTACGAGGCAGATCCGTTCCTTGCCAAGCAGGAGCGAGAAAGTGCAGCTGCAGACCTGGAAAAGAAGCGGAAAGAGCGCGAGAAGATGCAGGCAAAGGAGGCAGAGAAGACGGTTGACTTGGGACTGGGCTCTAGCGGTGATAACAGGGGCAAGAAGATCTGGTCGCAAGCACCAAAAGTTGATCTTGGGGGTAAAGTGCGCCGTGAGATCGAGGGCATTCTGCGTCAGCATGCCATTTGGAATCCTTACAATGTGGAGATACCCGCAAGCGAGCGCAAGTCTATTGTCGAGGAGCTCACTCACTTGGGCTTCCGGCGCAGCCATGTGGAGGAGGCGACAAGTACATGCAAGGACCGGGAGGAGGTCCTGGAATGGCTTCTTATATATGTCCCGGAAGATGATCTTCCACGGTGGTGTCTACCTGAAGGGTACTCCGCCGGTGTGAGCCTTGCCAGCGATGATCTTGCAAGGGAGGCCAAAATCAAACGGCTTGCCTCCATCGGCTACCCTGCTGACCTGTGCTCGCGAACACTGGATAGCAAAAAGGGCGATGAACTTGCGGCAGCAGAGTTCCTTCAGAGCACGCTGGTGCACGGATCAAATTCTGCTATCGACTCTTCGCCCATTGCGGAAGAGGATTTGTGGGCAGAAGAGCAAGATACCCTGGAGGCTATCTTCGGAGAACGGTACAAGCGGATTTCGCCTAAAGTCTGTGAAATTAAGAGTGAAGGGTCAGACTTGCCGGAGTCTTTAACGTTCCGTTTCCAGAGGCCTTCTACGCATTATCCTTCAGCTGTTCCGGTTATCTCTATTCTGGGCAAGGGCATTCCAGCTTACATACGACTGAGTGCTATACGCCAGGTGGTACAGTACTCTGAGGAGAACTTTTTTGGTGAGCCAATGATATTCAATATCCTGGACTGGTTAGAGGTGCATCTGCCGGAAGTCATGGAGAACCCAGGGCGTCTGCGGGATATTTCAACCGTCTCTGCTTCTCCAACTGCGACAGGGTCTGTATCTCAACTCCCTGTTCGCCAATCACGCAAGAAGGGCAGAGACGTTAACTGGCAGCCGGGTTCGCCGCAAAGCGTCGCGCTGAGAGAAGCCTGGGAAGCGAAGCAGGCAACCAAGGCCCAGCAAGAGATGACTCGAAAACGACAAGCTCTTCCAGCCTGGAACACACAGGACGCTATTATTCAGGCCGTGAACAAGTACCAAGTTACAATCATCTCTGGAGAGACCGGTAGTGGAAAGAGTACCCAGTCCGTCCAGTTTTTGCTTGATGACTTGATCAAGCGAGACCTTGGTGCTGCCGCAAACATCATCTGTACCCAGCCTCGCAGAATCTCTGCTTTGGGTCTGGCAGATCGCGTGTCCGATGAGCGATGTGCGTCGGTTGGTGACGAGGTGGGATACATCATTCGAGGAGAGTCGAAGGCCAAGGCAGGCACAACGAAGATCACATTTGTTACCACTGGTGTTCTGCTCCGTCGCATGCAAT